CGCAAGACGCTACTACCACATCGCGTTCGGCGATCGGGTGACCCCAGCGTGCCCGCACCAGAGGTCACTCCGGCGAAAGGTCGCTCTTACGTCTAGCCGATCTTGAGATTGGAAGGCGCCCAAATTAGATTCGGATATGGGGCTCCGACAATACTTACCCTCAACGACCGATGGGCGCGGCGTCAGAAAGACTCCTAAGCGAAGAGGCCACAACGAGACGGCGGCAGGATGCTAGAAAACACTGGCCCGCGACGGCCCAGCGACACCCCGGGAGGCTCCAGAACGTTCCCGGAGAAGCCCCGGGCCCCGCAGAGAAGCCCAAAAGAAGCCTACAGCGAGACCCGCAGAAGGCAAAATTCTGGCGGCGAGCCTGGGGAGGAGGTGAGAAGGAGAAGGCCTTCTCAGGAGGCTGGGAAGTCCCACGGCCTGCTGAGAAGTTTTCTAAGCCTTCTCCGAAGACACACGAAAAAACTTCTTAGAAGGCGCGAGGGCTTCTGAAAGTCCCGCCGCCTTCTGAGAAGGCCCTCTCCTTCTCACTTGCGCCCCTTGCTCGTCACCGAAACCTGGCAAGAAAAGCATTAGGAATGTGCGTGTGTATGTATTTGTGTTTGTGGTTGTGTTTGAGTTTGTGTTCGTGTTTATGTTTGTCTTTGTGATTATGTGTGTGTGTGTGTTCGTACTTGTGTTTGTGTTTGTTGTTGTCTTTGTGATTGTATGTGTGTGTGTTGTGTTTGTGCTGTGAATGTGCTTGAGAATGTGTTTGTGCTTGTGCTTGTGCTTGTGCTCGTGCTTGTGCTCGTGCTTCTGCTTGTGCCTGTGCTTGTGATTGTGTGTGTGTCTTTGTGTTTGTGGTTGTGCTGGTGCTTGTGTTTGTGGTTATGTTTGTGTTTGTGTTTGTGTTTGTGCTTGTGGTTGTGCTTGTGCTTGTGCTTGTGTTTGGGTGTGTGTGTGTTTGTGTTTGTGTGTGCCTGTGCTTATGCTTGTGCTTGTGTTTGTGCTTGTGCTTGTGCTTGTGTTTGTGCTTGTGCTTGTGCTTGTGTTTGTGTTCGTGTTGATGCTTGTGTTTGTGTTTGTGTGTTTGTGCTGTGTGTGTGCACTCTTGCTTCCGAGGCTGCTCGGCCTCAGACCGCCTCGGGAAGCTCCAGAAGAGCGGAAGAAGCCTCCCCCAACAGCTCAAGATGGCGCCAGGAAGACCCCAAGACGGCCCAAAGATTCTTCAAGAAGGTCCCAAGTACGGCCCCGAGACTGTCCAGGAGGGCTCCAAGACGGCCCCAAGACCCGTCCAGACGTATCCTGGATGATGCTGCATCTTGGGAAGGGCTCAACTGAACCCTCGCGCCCGAAACGGCCCCGAGGCTCCTGACGGCTCCAAACAAGGCCCTCTGTAGACAGCTAAGAGGCTCCCAAGAGGCTCCGAAGAAACCCCCAAGAGGCCTCCAAGAAGCTTTCATGAGGGAGGAGGGAGGAGGAGGAAGCAGGAAAGCAGGGGGGAAACGAGGCGGCGGAGAAGTTCCGGCACAGACAGGGCGCTCCACTGGGACTGGAATTGAAACCCGATCTCCCTCATGCTGCGATGCCACACTGGCACGGCGGCGGGGTTTGCCACTGGCAGCTGGACAAAAGTTGGGGGAATGTCGACGCGCTGAGATGTGCCAAAGCAGTTCCCAGGGCTATCATACGGGCGGCTGGGATGGCTGCGGTGTTTCAAGAGCGCGCGGCGCATGTCCTCCCGCTTTCCCCGCCACTTCGGCTGGTGCTCCTGGATGACGACGCCGTAATGGATCAGCCAGCCTCGGAGATCTGCGTCGCGTGGTACAGCATGTGGATGCTCGCAGTTGGCATCTGCCTCCTCACGGAGAGGATCGACACCTACAGTAAAACAGCTTGCCTTTGGGCGAGCTCTCCTCAGCGTACGTGTACACAAACGGAACGATGAAGTCCCTCAGGTACAGCGCCAGAGAAATGTCAAAAGAGTTGTACCATGAGGCCGCGGTGTCTCGTAGCGCAATCTGGGAGGCACTCCAGGTGGACACCGAATTACCGACGAAGACTGGCATCTGCGAGCATAAGAAGTAATCCCAGAGGGCACCGAGGCCGCGGGACACGGGGTCGACTGCCTGGTCGGCCGAGTGCGACGAGAGTTCGGCGCTGAGGGACGTCGCCTGCCCTCGCGCGACGATGGGCAAGCCCAACGATTCCAGATCCGCAGGGATCTCGTGGTCGCCCACGTAGAAGATCCACGCTTTGGGCAGGTGCGAGACGCGCCTCCTCACCAGCTCCGCGATCGGCTCCCGGCTCCTGCAGCTTCGATTCTCTGTCCCACTGGTCACACTGTCTGTGCCAGTCTTCGCCGTCGCGGTGGTGAAATCAAACACCGCTGCTCGTCGCCGAGGAGAAAGAAGACGGCGATATGGTGGCGGAAGGCGGCTCCAGACCCCCCCTGGATAACCTCAGTTGTGATGACACGCGGGCGACCATGGCCGACAGCATCATATCGAGG